AAAAAAAATCCTGACTACTCGTCGGACGGTCGCAAACCCGCGCAGACCTCAAGCGGTAGTTTGCAGACAAAAAGCAGCTGTGATTGGTTCTTGCTATGCCTTTCCTGCTGTCTGTGTGGTCGTCTTTCTCGATTCGGTGCACGCCGTTTTTAAAAACCGAGGAACAACTACAATGGACAACCCATGCTTCCTCTTTTGTCTTTTTGCCAACTCCATTAACAGAACCTGTTCCTCGTCACCAGGAACTCTAGATCCATCTCCTTGACTGTGATATCTTGCAGTTATCTTGAATTTCTCACAAATTCTCAAATAGGCTCCCTGTTGCGCTATGGCGGGAAACTGCTGTGCGTCCCGAGAAATTCCAGACCGACTGTGCAGAAGCATACCAGCAAAACTGGTTCGCGAACAAGACCCAAGCGACATTTGATGTGAGCGGTTACAGAAGTCTAATCTGCCCTTTATGAGCGTGACGGCCCTTTGACTGACATCTTGGCACTCTTTCCAGCACATTTCAGCTCGGTTACACTGAAACCTTTGGAATCATAATGGAATAAGGTTGATACCCTGATTTTAATGAGCGTAACGGCCACTGACAGGGTTTTTAAACACCTTTAACTCCTTATTTGTTCATTTACATGAGGGAAGCGCTTTTAAGACGTGAACCGTAAGACTGTCATTTGCTCACCGAGGCAGGAGAATAGGCCATAGCCCGACAGCAGAGAGCAACTTCAAAAAATAAATAGTTGTGCTTCCATTGTTCCAAGGTTTCTACCATTTTATAAACCGTCACTTGAATAAGTTTCCCACTTTGAATATTGCTTTTATAAGATAGTGGCAGTGATTTACTTTGATATGAGTCACTATGGCGACGTTTAAACTACAGGCCTTGATGCTCAATTCTGATTTTTTTTTTTTTTTTTTTTTGCGTTGCCGTTCACATTTCCAAATATATGCGACTTGTATTTGATCTCCTGTGTGAACTGCAGTCATACAACGCAAGTGTCCCGCATGCGCAGTAGAGGAGATTACATCACAGGCCAGTGTGCTCTGTGTTTACGCAAGTAAACATGGATGGTAGTGCCGGAGTGCATCTAGCGATCATTCCCAACCATAAAAACACAATTTTTTCAAGATGTTAAACATGAATACTGCTCTCTAAATCATCGTCTGCCATGGTTGTTGTTTTTCTTGCCGCTTCTTCATAGCAAGACCCAGAATAGTGACCTTTGTCGGGTATTAATGTCGTTCAGGTCGGATGAATGCCACCTGGCCGTTCAGACACAAGTCGCATTTTAAAAGATCAGATTCAGGACAGCATAGCCAAGTGGCCTGGGTCGCATTGGAAAAAATCGGATCTGTGTTGTTCAGATAGCAATGAAATGATCAGATCCAGGTCGCATATGGGCCAAAAAATCGGATTTGGGTCACTTCAGGCTGCAGTGTGAACGTAGACCATGATGTAAGATTTAGTAAGAAGTTATGACCCAAATGCCGTTGGAAGTCTTCCCCGTTTGCTGTAAGTGGATTTAAAGGCTAAGTTGGTTGGTTTATTTGGTCGTGTTGGTAGAAGCTTACAGGACGGGGCTGAGTCTGACCTGAAAGAGTTGCTGTGTCACCTTCAACGCCTATAGAAGGTGTAAAAGTTGTTCTTTGACAACTCTAATAAAAACTCTAATAAAGAAATTAGGAGCTTTCAGTACAGAGACTGAGACTTGAGTATGGCCTTGGTGATCTGCTTATCATAGTCTTGAAATATTACAACAAAGTTTTTGTTGGAGCCTAAAATATTTAGGAGCCACATTTGAGGAGATAAAACAAAGTTAGTGAAATTTACTTGACTATCCTGATTTGATTGGATGAAGCAATAAAATGCTCTTCTTATTGAAAGATTGGAGTGAAGAGGTCTGAAGGATGCAGTGAGTAGAAGGGGATGCAGAGAGGTGATGTTGCTGTTAGGAAGTGAGGCCATGAAGACGCTAGGAGGGAGAGAGGGGAGAAGGCAGCCAAGTGGAGAAGGCTGTGTGTGTGTGTGTGTGTGTGTGTGTGTGTGTGTGTGTGTGTGTGTGTGTGTGTGTGTGTGTGTGTGTGTGTGTGTGTGTGTGTGTGTGTGTGTGTGTGTGTGTGTGTGTGTGTGTGTGTGTGTGTGTGTGTGTGTGTGTGTGTGTGTGTGTGTGTGTGTGTGTGTGTGGGTGTGTGTGTGGCCAGATGGCTCCAGCGTGTGGCGACCAGCCAGAGGAACAGGTGCAGGTCACATGACCAGCCGTTACCACGGAGATGGTGATTGCTCTTGGCGTGAGGATGAAAGGAGAAGGGCCCCAGGGACAGAGGGGGGGTGAGAGATGGAGAGAGGGGGGAGAGCAGGAGGAAGGAGGGGAGGCAGTGTGGAGGAAAGAGATCCTGGCGAACAGTTCTGCAGAGGGCAGCTCAGCCCAGAAAAAAAACACACACACAGATTTACCATCATTTTTGGAGGAGGCTAGTTGGACAAACCATTGTTTCTGTCTGCCTCTGTAATGTAGAGTTTGGCTTATAATAAAAATGGATTCTCTTTATCCAGACGCACAGCTGGTTCTGCCCTGGATCCAGTCTCATGTTGTCAATAAAATAAACAGTTTTAATACCATAATTTCTTTTACATTTTAGATTATATTTAGAAATACTTACGTTTCAAATGGAAAACAAATGTTCTTGTAACTCTTAGTTTCTTTAACAGGTTATGGTATCTGCTAATGGTTGTAGGCAGTAAGGATCTTCTGTAGTGGTCTGTCCTGCAGCAGCTCTGGAGAAGCCTCTGACTGAAGACAACCTGTTCTGAACAGACTGATGAAGAGGATGTTCAGGGTGGTCCCTAATCTTCATACTTTGAAGAAATCATTTTATTTAAATCATAATTAGAACTCATAATTTGTTAAAGTTCATATGACAAGGATTTTTTTTAGTGCATCAATATGTTTGAATACTAACTGAACCCTTTATTGGTGGTGTAATTTGGTCTCTGATGTTGTAATAGTGTTTTCACATTAGGGCTGCAACTAACGATTATCTTGCTAATTGATTAATCCTTTTTTTATTTTTTTTATTTTGTTTTTTCAATTAATCGGTTCATAATCCAATAGCAAAAAGTTCCTTAATCAAGTTTTTTTTTTTTTTTTTTTTCTTTTACAGAATTTTAACCACCTAAAACTAAGCCTTTTCCAGTTGAGTTCAAACGATTTTCTTAAATAGAAGAATCTTAAATCAGAAATACTTTCTTTTTTTTTTTAAGAATTTTTGGTATAATTAAATCTTTAAGTGGGTTGCTCTAAATGCATGTTTTAGAGTCCTCAATTAATTTTTTCAGCCCCTGTCGACACACTTAGGTATTTAATAGATGTTACATTTTACAAATTTTTTAGCTAAATCCTGCTGCATGAACAAGCTTGTTTATTTGGTTTCATTTTAATTTTTTGATAGGATATTTTTTTTAAAGTTTCTTTAACAATTAACCCTTCATGTTGTCATGTCCCTGTTGAAACAGGAGCTTCTATAGATCAGGAGGTGGAGACCTTTCTGATGACTTGGCTTCATCATATATACAGATCTGCTTGTCTTGGTACTCTGCCCCTGAGGGCCACAGATGTTGATATTTGAGCCACTTGCTTTGAGACTCTCTGCTTTTCAGACCTTATTCCTTGCTAATCTAGATCTGACTGAAGATTTAATATTAATCCAGCAACACAAACACTACCACCCTGACTATACCCAGGGGTATTCTTTCAGCTGCTTGAATGCTAGCAGGCCATAATGTAAACGTGCTGACATTTCTGCTGTTTACACATGACAGCAAGCCTGAATATTAGCTGATATGTTGAACTTCTTTGAGCTCACAGCACTTTAGGTCAAATGCAAGGGAAAAGCGTTTTGTTTTTTTTACGATGTATAAGAAGTTAGAGACACAGTGAAGCTGTTTTACCACAGCCTCACCAGTGCTGCAGTGATAAAAATCTTCTCCCCATGTCAAGATTGTCCTATCTACAGTAAAGACAGAGGCAGAACTGGACGGTACCGAACCGTGTAATAGAAAATCATCATTCCAGAAATGGATATCTATCTATTAATCATGTCATTATTCTTAAAACGGCAAGAATATAAATGAGTGATGAATTGTGACTTTTGACCTAAAGCGTAGAGCAGGCATGTCCAAAGTGGGTCCTGGAGGGCCGCTGTCCCACAGGTTTTTAATGTTTCAGGTGATTGCAGTTCAGGAAAAGCCTATTAACCAGCTATCAATGGCAATCATCTAGGCTGAAGTAGAGAAAAACTCTTAAATCCTGCAGGAGAGCAGCACTCGAGAACCGACTTTGGACATGCCTGCCGTAGCGGATCAGAACCCAGATTGAGTAATAAAGGAAGAACAGTGATGGATATTATGGGTCCAGGCTGAGCCCCCCTCCCCTGCAGGCAGCTGTCATCGGGCCTGCACCATGAGCAAGTCGTCTTTCTGAGAGATCTAAGGACGGAGACATGCTGTACGAGAGACAGGGAAAGGATGCTGGGTGTCCTCTCACCTCTGTGGTGTTAATGCTCAGATGGAGCCAGTTCCTCTCTCTCTCTATCCATGCCAGAGATTAGTGGAGGCCTGGGGGAAACTCAGCTCCTCCCACCTCCTCTCTCTGGGGCCTCTCTGGGTCTGCCTGTCTGTTTCTCTTGGACCCCCTCCTCTCTGTGCCTGTATCTCTCCATCTTGCTCCCATGCCTCCATGCAGTCTTTCATCATATTAACCCCCTGTGTGCCAGAGCCTGAGGCACACTAATGATTTCTAAATGGGTAAATCAAACATGGCGATTGCCCTGGGACAGACGGCCACACACACAAAAATGAACACGCACACGCAGGGAGGTTTGGTTGTCTCATACCCAGGTGATTTCATTAAAAAAAGATTTGGTGTATTTTTTGACCTTTTTTTTCTTAATAAAAGAGTGGTGCTCATATTTTTCGTTTTTATCCTTTATTCCCACAGCAGTAAAAAGGTGGAATCAGAGGGCGGGGCCAGTGCTGCTAAGAAGGATGCCAAGAGGAAGAGGGAGTCATCAGTGGGTGACGATGTGGAGGTGAAGTCTCCACTCCCCTCTCCCCCCGAAGAAGAGGATGATGATGGTGTTCAGGTAGGATATGGCTTTTCAGCAATCATTATCCTGCAGAATTTAAGTTAATCAGAAAGTTAAGGACATGCCAAAAATAACAAATTCCAAACACTAAAAGTCTAAGGCCATCAAACCACCTCTGATCACTGGTTGTCACAGCTTGTAGGCGAAGCGCCGAGCCACAGAAGGTTTGTGTTGTATACCTGTCTTGTTGACAGACCAGCGGGCGAACCCCGCCTGTCGGGTTGTCGTCATGCTCTGTCAGCAACTTTTCATTGCCAGTGATATATTTTGGAAACATTTTTGCTTGAAGTTTTGTGTTTAACCTCCTTTAAGTCGACCCCTAGGAGCGTGTTTACCACAATGCCCTCCTTTTAAAGCCTGCTTACAATGTGCAGTGGTCATTAAAGGAACAAAAGCGTGCCGTTACATCCTTTCTTTACACAGATTTATGAGCCATTCTCTTTGTCGCCCACAAAGAGCCCTGAAACAGGAAGGCACATCAGCAGCTGAGATTACCCTTTACAGTTAAAGTTTTTAATTGATGACTTTAAAATATTTCGAAAATTAAAATCATAGCAAATAGACCTGTCCATGAGATGTCTAAAGCTTGAAATATTTTCCATTAATTAAACTTCACAGCTTTCTCCCAGACCTATCTGCTATTTTCTTTTCTCTTGGAGATGTTCGCAGATGTTCTCTTAACAAGCCTGAACAGATGCCTTTATTCTGATATTACATCACACACTCACTGACTTAAACTTTTTACCTTATTGGTGGCTTTTACGGATGTTTGTTCACACTGGATTATATTTAGAGCCATCATTAACTTAATGCCTGTGTTTATTTGTAAAAAAAAAATAAAACTTCTAAAGAAGCATTTCATTCCTGTAGCTTCAATTTTGTTTCTAATGATCAAAGTGTTCTCCTGTTATGTATCCAAACTGAAGTTAGATCAGGTGGTCCTTATCAATTATAATATGAATGCTGATATATTTGCTCCCATCAGAAGCGCCGTTCGAGTCGTCAGGTTAAGAGGAAGAGATACACTGAGGACTTGGAGTTCAGGATCTCTGAGGACGATGACAGCGGGGATGATTCAACAACACCGAAATCTCCTTCATCCTCCTCACAGCAACAGGTGAGGTCTGGTGGCCAACACTTAGTTTCTACAATGTCAGCAGGAATGAATGTTTATATTTTTCTCTTTTCTCTTGCTCCAGGATTTGACTGAGACTGAAGGGCCTGTCGTGGAGAAGATCATGGGTTTGCGTAGCGGCAAAAAGCAGGTAAGACACACAAGAAACTATTCTCTCACACAAACCCCTCCAAAGCTGGCATAAAATCCCTGAACTCTAGAGTAGTAGCATGATGGGAAAGTAAGCATCTGCAGGAAGCCCAGCCCTAACATTTTCCAGCTATTTCTTCCCGCAAAGCTAATTGTTTGAGGGGATGGGATGTTTAACGACAGCCACCGGGTCACAATGTCTTAGATGAAGCAAAAACGACAGAGTGGGATGCTGAGGTTCATGGTTAGCAGGGGTCGCTTCCCCTCTGCAGTCAGTGGCAGACAGACCTCCAACCAAAATGTGGTTTTCAGATTATCTGAGGAACCATGAATGGACATGTGCCTGCATTCAAGCTTCAAGTTCACAAGGGGAAAGGTTGAGAGCAAAGCATCGGATGCAGAGGTGTGAAGCATGCCACCACTGAGCTGTAGAGCAGCGCAGCATTCTTTGGAGGGATGTTCTTCTGGGAGTTTAAATCCCTGTGAAGCCTTCTGGGTTTGACAGTCGTCAGGAGATCGGTATTTTGGGCGGTCTCATGCTCTTTGTCAGGTGGGAACAGTTTAGAGATGGCCCCTTCCTGTCCTAACACATGCACAATGTGTGGAATAACTTGACTTACTCTGCAAAGAGTCCCAGAAGAGCTGCTGTTTTTAGAGCTGCAAAAGTTGGCCGAACTATAAATTAAATTATATGATTCAAGGCTTGATGTATGTTAAACCTGTGTGTGAGGGACAGTGTAGTTCATCTCAGACAATGACACCACACAGTTGCAGGCACTGACATGACTAAGACTGGCCTGAGTCATGATTTACGTCACACAAGAGCCGCACTCCACAGCTGGCCTAAGGAGATTACCCTCATACACACCCACAGTCAGAGACATATGCTCTCACACACCCACGGCTAAGTCCGTCCGGATTCACTCGCCAAGCTGAGACCAGAGTTCTTGTAATTCAATACGTGTGTTTTTGATGGACCTCACGCGCGTCAACCTTCTTTGTTTTATGTGTCTTAACTAAGGAAAAGTCGTCCTGAGGCCAACTCACACACACTCGACAGCCAACTGTGCTTTGCCAGCCAGCTCCCCGTGGGGTTACTCCCTAACACGCACACACCCATCCTTTTCTCACAGCTCCATTCAAAGTTGACCCCAGGCTTGGCACACAGCCAAAACCACAACGCTAGCTAAGCCAGACGCCAAGTTAGTGTTTCCTCAGGCAGAACGCGCGCACGTGATTGATGATTCATGGCATTACAGTAGTAGTGGTAGTACAATAATGCTGTGTGCGTTTGCTGCAGCTACATTACAGTGAATGAGTCTGGACAGCTAAGGAGCTGCTAAGCTTCCGTCTTTCACAAGTGTGGAAAAAATTAAGCGTTTTGCTCCAATATTAGTAATTTTAACAAAAGGTCAAATAGCTGGCATGAGGGAAACAAAAGCTTCCTCTGAGTCTGCTGACTGACATGTCGGTGTGAAGCCGAGTCCAGGCTCCTCGTGTGCCACTTCAACATTTTTAACCACATGTTTTACAACAATGACGATCTGCTTCTGCTCTTTCACCGTCCTGCTGCTATATTTTTTGGTGATTATTAACCTTTTTTCTCTGCTTTCAGCTGGAGTCTGGTGAGGAAGTAGAGGTGGAGGAGTTCTACGTCAAGTTCAAGGGCTTGTAAGTTGTAGCTATGTGGGGTTTTTTTCTCAGCTTTCTACAGCTTTTGTCTTTCACAGCAGGGATCCCTCTTTTTTTAGATCCATTTGCTACACACACACCAGGACGTCCATTGGTCTCTTGGTGTGAAAGGCTCAGTATATTCTGCCTGAGAAGCTTTATTCAATTTTCTTTATGCGCCAACCGCTTTTATTTTAAATCTATTCTAACATCAATAACAGAGGCGGGAGCAGCACTCTTTCTGCAAACTTGGGTTTGGCCAAGATAACAAGTCAGATTAGAAATACAGTTCAGCAGTTTCATTAATCTTAAAAGCTAAATTGACTGGTGGTGTAGGGTTTTACACCACCTCCTAAATATTTTTTTGCTATTCATTACATATTGACAAAAAATTAACAGTTGCCTAAACTGTCAAAACCTCGCCAAAAATCTTCTATTGCAGCTCTAGATGCTGTGTTCACCTGTATTTTACATATTTTCTTTGTTAAATTGATTCTTCCTGTTTTTTCCCCTCATATTTAGAACCAAATTAAATAAGACTTTATTGTCTGAAAATTGGGATTAACATTAGCTTGTTATGCCAAGTACCCAGAATTTCATAGTATAAAAATACAATAGTTTTTACTGTATTTAAAAATACAAATCCTAATTTTATTTACAACTGGAAAGCATCAATAGTTGCAACAGCTGATGAATATTTTGATTATTACAATATAATAAGCATGCTTTTATTGTAGAAATGGTGTTACACATAATCTGTCTTGTTCAATTTGAATTGACAGCCAGTCACTCTGTCTTTAAACTGTTCCTAAACCTCCATAAATTGAACAGGACATAATCAGCAGGTTGCTTTAAAAATGTTTAATCCAGCAGCTTTCATTCTAAAACCCAGAGCCGGCTGGTTACACTGAATATCAGCCACCAGTGACTTTCATCCTCAAAGTAGGCTTCCTCTTTAATTTGTCACCTTTCACAGTGCTGCCACTATAATGCCCCATTCATCCTCCCAGAAATTAGTTCAGAAGGTGTTTCAGTAACACATTTTAGTGATGTAACTGTGAGAAAATCAACAGATCATCTTAATGTGGGACTACAGGGGGTCTGTTTTATTGAATTACTAAAACAACCTTTTTTTCTCGCTAAAAGAAATGGTTTCTAATGTGTTGGTGCTAAAAGGAAAGAGCTGATTTGTTCGTTTGGTTCCAGTTCGTACCTCCACTGTCGCTGGTCCGATCTGGAGGAGCTGGAGAAGGACAAGAGGATACACCAGAAGATCAAGAGGTTCAAAGCCAAGCAGCAGCTCAACAACTTTATCACTGAGGTAAAGCAAAGAAAGCTGTTCTTCCTGGTAGTCCATTGGCCTCTTACCGTTATAATTTTATTTTTAGTCAAAAAAAAAACAACCTTTCATAGATATTTTACATGTTTTGATGAGTTTATGAGTTGAAATATTTCAGATCATTCCTAATTACACTGTAAATCTCCTCTTCTCTTGCAGATGGACGATGAGCCTTTTAACCCAGATTATGTGGAGGTGGACCGAGTCCTAGATGTTTCAGAGAGCACAGATGAAAATGGAGAGGTGCTTGGCTCTCTCTCAGATTTCCATCACTCTTTTCCCTCATTAGCAATAAAGTTCACTAAACCCGTTTTTTTTTCTGTCTAGATCGTCACCCTGTATTTGGTGAAATGGTGCAGTCTGCCTTACGAAGATGCTACCTGGGAGCTGAAGGCAGACATCGACCAGTCTAAGATAGATGAATATGAACGCATCGCAGCACGCGAACCCAACACTAACCGAGTGGTGAGTACAGGCTGTCTGGGTGCTGCCTGCCTCCCGTCCTCCTCCCAGTCGATGCGTTTCTGTGTGTGTTGGCCTGCTGCCTCCTCCAGATTTACAGCTCCTCTAACTGGTTTCCACAGAGCCACGTTCATGTGGTCTTACACTCTCAACACACACGCTGAGGAACACACGCCCTGCTCCTGTGGCCGGGCCAAACCACTAACAGTATGTTTAATGCTTAACAGAGGGAGCTGACTGGCTGTGGTCTTTTCCTCCATCAGTCTTTCTGTCCCTGAGTCCATCTTTTCAACGACTGTCTGTTTTCCCCTTAAGGAAGATATTAGAAACCCTCCATCATTCAATGGCAGCACTTGGAAGTGGATTTATTTAACCTCTAGTAGTCTTTAGAGGATGGTGGTGCATTTATATCAATAGACATTCATTTCCCCTGAGTAGGAACTTAAGAAAAGTAACCTACTGCTCTACAATAGATGAATTTAAGAGAGAAAAACCCCAAAGCAACTTAAAACAGGATCAAATATTTAAAGTATTTTCCAGATCTGGATTATTATGGAAAAAAGTGAAAGTTTTTTTTTTTTTGAGGAGTCGGCATTTCCAAAAGCATTCCATAGTAATCCATTTGTGTTGGCATCCATTGGTCCATCAACCATCGACCTTATTCCACATCCATCCTCCTGTCTCTGTCCATTTGTCCATTCTTCCATCAGTGTAGATGTTTTTGTCTGCACATTCAATCATCGCAATTCCTTCCCTCCTTTGTTTGTGTTTCGTTTCTTTAGAAATATAAAATAAGACACCTACTATAAACTTATAGTAAATATCGTTTACTTTAACCTTGGAAATATTCTAGAAAAACTGTCATGTCTGGAAAAGCTTTTCATTTGGATATAAAGATATATCAATCGGATTTAAAGGTACATTGGAGGATTTTAAGCTACTCAGTAACATCCTAATCCTGCTGACATGCAAGAATGAAATATTCTGTCTCCAAGCGTCCTGAATGAAGCTCCTTATCTATAAGTTATTATTTAAAATGTCCCCTCAGACATGAGGTTTGTTTTCATGAGATTGATGATGAAAATGTGTAGCGGTGTATTTGGGGTATTTGATAAGCTAATACCTAATTTTTCTTGTCATGTAGGCTCCAGTTCGTAGGTTGCTCTAAGACACTTTATATTGAATGATCACACTTCAACCCCCTGGATTTGAACAAAAACCATTTGTCTGAATAGTTTAGTGTCAATAAAGATCTTATAAACGAAAACAATTAAAACATTATGCATAATACATAACCTGAGTAGGTTGGAAGGGAATGCATTCTTTGTGAATTCAAGAGGAAGTGGTCGCTCTTAGAAGCAAGTTTAAACCCTGCAGCCCCAACTTCCAAGGGCCCTACCCCGATGATTTACTAGGGATTAATGAGGCTCGCTGTGGTTTAACGACCTCGCATCATCTCTGCTTGTCTCAAGGATCGGCCTTCTGCAGCCGACTGGAAAAAGCTGGAGAGCTCCAGAGAATACAGGAACGGCAATGCACTCAGGGAATACCAGCTCGAAGGCCTCAACTGGCTGACTTTCAACTGGTACAACTCGTAAGTCACTGTTAATTGTATTATCCAAGATGTATCTCCTAACCGGCGCTCTGTCCTGTGCATGAAATAGCACTTCATTAAGGCGTCTTAAGTGGACATTAAAGTTAGCATTAAGTGGCTCTGTTCGATCTTGCTGTTTAAGTTTCCCCACTGGTGCCGTGCATGTGTAAAATATATGCTCCAATCACATGCCAGGACTCTAGGCAAGAACTCTGGAAGAAAATGAGTTAAAGATAATAAATGATGTGTTGGTTTTTTCTGTTGGATTATCTGACACGTTTAAGAAATATGGTCAAACTCCAGAGGAAGGCAGACTTTTCCAGAGATACATTAGCAGGTATTTTCCAGCGTGTGTTTTTTGCATTAGATCACTGCAGTGGAAAACAAACCACATAACTCTACTTGAAAATTGGCATTAATGCACCAGAATGGGACGATCTTTTGTTTTATGAAGGTCCGACTAGAAAGTTAATGGAATTCAACATCAGGGCCTCAGTGCACAGGATTAACTTGGAAGCAGGGGACATTTCTACAGTTTAGTGAAGCTGAATGCAGAGAATATAAAAATCCATCTGTTTCCTCCCGCTGACCTCATCATCTGTGCTCCACAGACGTAACTGTATACTGGCAGACGAGATGGGGCTCGGAAAGACCATCCAGTCCATTACATTCCTCTACGAGATCTATATGAAGGGCATTGAGGGGCCATTCCTGATCATCGCCCCTCTATCCACCATCCCTAACTGGGAGAGGGAGTTCAGGACCTGGACGGAGCTCAACGTTGTCGTCTACCACGGCAGCCAGGCCAGCAGGAAAACCATCCAGGCCTATGAGATGTACTACAGAGATCCCCAGGTAACAGGAGGACGACTCTTGAAATAGTTTTACAGCAGCGTATCGTTTTTAAATGAGCTAGGTTATGTTTAGAGTGTATAAAAATGTTGATCAGGCTGTGGATAATTAAGGGGGACGTGGTTTTAAAAAAAAATCAAGAGCTCACACTATTTTCTATTTTCTGTTCTTCCTTTAGCTGTAATTATTACCACTTTGTATCTGAAATGATAGAACCTTGAGTATTTAAATTTTAATTGCGCATTGTGCTTGAACTGATGATTATCACTTTCATCTTAGGTTAGAAATATTAAATAAAAATGAAATTCTTGCAAAAAAAAACTGCTAGATGTCAGTCATGCATTCGTTATTTAAAACCACTGAAAATCTCCTGATTCATATAACTAACTACAGAACTTTACCTGTTATTTCAAAGAAAAAAACGTCTGTCAAACCACTACATCTCTTAGTAGATATCAATTTTAAATACATGCTAGATAATCTTTTATTTCACATACTTGGAGTTTTTTATACGAGATAATCAGGTCTACTTTTTGTGTTTCAAGGAAATGCCATTGCTTATTTCTATCCCTGAGTTAAATAATGTTTTTTTTTTTTATTTAACTTTGTCCCTGAGATAAAAAGGATTCACATAAGGCCTATTAAAAAAGAAGCTTTTGCATGAAATGGTCAGCAGATCGGGGGAAATATTGAGTCGGTCGAGGATGAGCAGGGCTCCTTGGCCACTTAAGCTCTTTACAGGCCTGTAGCTGTAAGCTGTCATTGTGCCGTGCTGCAAACATCTCTTAGTATAACCTTCGCCACAGTCAGCCCCTGAGGAAAATAAGCTGTAGTAGCAGTGCGCTTGCTTGGTGCTCGTTCTAATCCAGCCTGAGGTAATCCTCCAGGTCATGAAGACGGCACCTTTTGTTCTTTTTCCTCCCATCCGCTGTATTCCACACAGACTGGAGACATAAAAGCTGTTTCTATGCAGAGGTGAACATGCACACTTCAGTATGAGTGGACATTTTGTAAAATCATGGATCTGATTAAAATGAAGGGCTCCCCTCATATCACCTAAGGGCAAAATGGTACCGGAACCAATGTTTTATGTTGTGGCTTTAAAACGATTTAATGGAATGTAAACTACCATAGTTGCTCTTTCACTGCAGGGTCTTTTGCACTTGATAGTTAAAATCCTTTCTTTTCAATAACAGGGGTGCATGACTATTTTTCAGCTTAACTGTAGATCTTAGAGTGCTCAATGTTTGGGTCATTTTCTGCAGTACAGTGCCTGGTAAAATAATTTCTACCCCTTTAACTGCTGGAGATTCATCTTCAACTAAAACAAGCAGAGCTGTGGGAAAGTTAGATAGAAGCATAGCCCCTTGTTGAAATGGCCTAGTCAAAGTCCTAGTCAAAGTTTTGACCCGGGTTGGCTGAAGTAAAATACGTGCCACACATTTTCACTCAGTTATACACCGCTTTGCTTTGGTCTGTCACATAAAATCTTAATAATAAACAGATGTTTGTGGTTGTAATATAAAAACATCAAATATATGAAATAGCTGAAGGGATGGAGGTAGTTTATCAGGACACAGATCAACATTTCTGATGTAATGTAGAGGGATAATCGGGTCGAGGCTGTGGAACAGGAGAAAAACAAGTCATTAACGGTAGACTAGAAGATGCAACTTCATGTGGTTTATATGTTATGAAATCTATCAATTACTTTTCTTGGCTTTTACTTCTAGACTTCTGTTTCTGTGTCCAATTTCAGGAATCAATAATTAACGAAGTTTGCTCTTTTTTCTCATTGTTCTCTTTTTACGTCACTCCAGGGCAAGATAATAAAAGGAGTGTACCGGTTCCACGCGGTCATTACGACATTTGAGATGATTCTGGCCGACTGTCCGGAGCTGCGCAGCATCCCGTGGCGCTGTGTGGTGATCGACGAAGCCCACCGCCTCAAAAACAGAAACTGCAAGCTGCTGGAGGGACTCAAAATGATGGATATGGTGAGTAGACATCTTTTTCTATTTGCAGCCCAGCTGTGGGGGAACTAAGAGAGTTGGAAGGCTCATTTCTAATTAGCCCAGTGTCTCCGCTCTGTTACTGTAATCTCTCTTTCCATCTTTCAATATTTCCAGTCCCTTAGACACATCCTGCTTTTAATTTTAGATCAGCTAAATTTGTATTTCCTTTCTCCACTTTGTCCTCCAGGAACACAAAGTCTTGTTGACAGGAACTCCTCTTCAGAACACAGTGGAGGAGCTCTTTAGCTTACTCAACTTCCTGGAACCAGAGCGATTCCCATCTGAACAGACTTTCATGACTGAATTTGGAGACTTGAAGACTGAAGAACAGGTAATGGGCACTAACCAGTACACGACTCTGGACATAAAGGTGCAAAACATCTTGAAACTTCCCATTATAGGCTTATTGATATCCTTGTTCTCTGTCAGGTCCAAAAACTTCAAGGCATTCTGAAGCCCATGATGCTTAGAAGACTGAAGGAGGATGTGGAGAAGAACCTAGCCCCCAAAGAGGAGACTATTATTGAGGTGGAGTACTTGGAGATCCAAAGGCCTTCCTCCTTTTGGAAAGCTTTCTTACCTAAATTAATTGATTTTTCTGATGTTATCGTTAGGTGGAGCTGACCAACATCCAGAAGAAATACTATCGGGCCATACTGGAGAAAAACTTCTCCTTCCTGTCCAAAGGAGGCGCAGGAGGAAGTGGATCAGCAAGTGTCCCCAACCTTCTCAACACCATGATGGAGTTGAGGAAATGCTGCAACCACCCCTACCTCATAAATGGTGCAAACTCTCTTCCTTAAGAGTGGTATGATGCTGAAGTGAATTGGTCCAGAATGACCTTTTGGTCCTTCCTGTCTGCTTTGCAGGAGCGGAAGAGAAGATCATCGAGGAGTTTAGGGATTCCCATGGCGGCAGGACTGATGTGCCAGAGATGGCTCTCCAAGCTATGATCCAGGCGGCTGGGAAACTGGTGCTCATCGACAAGCTGCTGCCCAAACTAAAAGCCGGAGGACACAGGGTTCTGATTTTCAGTCAGATGGTCCGCTGCCTGGACATTCTGGAGGACTACCTCATCCAGAGACGGTGAGATCAGAGACAAACATGGTCCAAGTGTCAGGATCCCAGCTGGCTTGAAGCAGTTTTCCTGTTACTAATGCTGAGATATGAGAGCCGTGTAATCTGTCCACCTAAAGAGGCAAAATGTGACAAAAATGGAAGCTTCAACTTCTTAAATTAGTTGATTGCCATAAACATTAGAATTCAGGTCATTTTTCCAAGTTTTTCCTAAAAGTGAACAGAACTAAAACTTACAGATTACTGAGTAAATTTATTTTTCTTAACCCTACTCCATGCTTTTTTTCCCCATACTTTTCATTCATTCGCAGATATCCATACGAACGAATAGACGGCAGAGTTCGGGGAAACCTGCGACAGGCCGCCATCGATAGGTTTTCCAGACCAGACTCGGACCGTTTTGTCTTCCTGCTCTGTACCAGAGCGGGTGGGCTCGGCATCAACCTGACCGCAGCAGATACCTGCATCATCTTTGACTCGGACTGGAATCCTCAGAATGACCTTCAGGTATACCTTCCCCCCGACACGTGGTCGCCTCTTAGTGAATAATATGCAGTACAGAGAATGAAAGATTTTGGCATTTTATTTCATGTATGCACAAATAGACTTAACTTTTCAGAAATGTAATCTATTAAGATTATTAATAATATTAAGAAGATAAAAACAAGAAGAAAACCCTGCATTAAAAATATTAGATTTTAAAAAATATACCCTTTTTTTGGTCTACATCTATCCAAGCATTCATTATTTGCTTGTCCTATCACCTCTTCACCCATATGTCCAGTCTCTTCATGCATACATGTATCCATTTATGAATACAGATTAGATAATTAGTCTTGTGTTTGAGTGCTAAAACCAGCATTAAAAAAACAGCAGCTTCCTCTAAAACGATGCATCTCTGAACGTCCGCTCCACCAGGCTCAAGCAAGATGTCATCGTATCGGCCAGTCCAAGTCGGTGAAGATCTACCGCCTGATCACCAGGAACAGCTACGAGAGAGAAATGTTTGACAAGGCCAGTCTGAAGCTTGGGCTGGATAAGGCTGTTCTGCAGAGCATGAGTGGAAGAGAGAACGCTAACAGTGGGGTGAGTCCAACCACACCCCGTCACACACTCTGTTTCCTGGCCAAAAAACGATTTCAGTTTATTTACAGCACTGAAGAACGAAAGCAAATACAGTAAAATATTACTGAACAGTAATGTCAAAAATCAGATTGTAAACAGATGCTCAAAATGGAGCTGGAGGTATACAGCTTCTGTCACACTTCCCCTTACTGTGGCTGGACTTTTGAACCTCCTCTAGATCACCACGAGAAATAACTCCTCATTGTTGTCCAGGTCCAGCAGTTGTCAAAGAAGGAAATCGAGGACCTACTGAGAAAAGGTGCCTATGGAGCTTTGATGGACGAAGAAGATGAAGGCTCAAAGTTCTGCGAGGAGGACATCGACCAGATCCTCCAGAGACGAACCCACACCATCACCATCGAATCGGAGGGCAAAGGCTCCACTTTTGCTAAGGTGAAAAACCTCGGCACTGTTCACTCTGCCTGGAAAGAGAAGCATGTTATATTTACACAAACATGTCCCCCCCCTGCAGGCCAGCTTTGTTGCGACAGGAAACCGAACAGACATTTCTCTGGAGGATCCAGACTTCTGGCAGAAATGGGCCAAGAAAGCAGAGCTGGACATGGATGCCATTAATGGCCGGGTATGACACAAAGATTTAAAACACCTCTGTTTTTCTTTATATCGTCTTTATAGTTTAAAATCTCTTTTATTAGTATCTGGATCATGTGCTGCTGTGCACTACCAGTCAGCTGGCTGGAAGATCACAATTCTCTCACTAAAAGAATCTGGCTGTCTGACGTTAATTTGATCTAAATTGACTGTTTATTATAAACTTAAGCTGCGATATAATGATTGTATTTAAAAAATCTGTATGTTGGATTAGTTTAGCAGCGGTAATGTTCTTTTCTTTAGAAAAATTGGCTTTTTTCGGATAGAATTATTTAGGGAAATAATTCATTTGAGATATTGACCTGGAGTTTAGAGCTCAGTTTAGATGTTTGTTTAGTCCTGAGCTCAGTTTAGTCCTGAGTGCTACTTTTAAAAGAAAAATAAATCATATAATAAATCATATAATTTATGTAACAATTTCCATCCAATTAAGATAATTTTTTTGCGTTGATTTTAAATTGTTTCGTTTAATCGATGAAATGTTTCATGTTGAATTGGTTGAAATGTTAATTAGTGGAACCAATGTCTGAAGTTTCTCTAAACGACTTATCCATGGGGATCCCCTGTGTAACGTCAGAGTTCATTTACCAGTAGATAAACATTAACATGGTTGTTTCTCTTGGCTCACCAGTAGCTCCTGGGTGTCATAACTTCTGCTGTTCATCATCAATCATTTTTTCCTGTCAGAATGCCTGTTTATCCCCATTTAACCCGCAGTACTGCCACGCTTTCCTCTGGATCTGCATTTCAAGACCTTTAAAACACCTTTTATAACTCATGCAATCACGTCTGAACCACTTGAAAACGTCTTACCAACTGCTTAAAATATTAAACAAAGAAAATAAAATAAACTACTGATGCTGATAGATTTTCAACTTTTCTGTAAATACACTAAAATAAATAAAGGGGTGTTAAAAGCAGAGGTCCGCATGATGTGAGAATTTTCTATAAAACATCTGCTGCACTCCTGTAGGAACCAACAGCACTGACTGTGCGCATCTCCTCTTGATAAAGTGGGGTCACTTTGGTAAATGTTGAGAGCTCTCAGCAAATACTAGGAGGAAGTATTTGAGACGGTCAGAGAGGAGGAGACAGACAGGACAGGGAGAAGCACACAGAGAGGAATGGAAGGAAGGGAGGAGATTAATATTGACGGTTGGGAATCTCCTCTCTTCCTTAATTACCCATGTTTCCCTGCTCTCGTGTGTGTATTTGAGCGAGCGAGCGAGGAAGAGTAAGCTGCTTAGCTCCACTTAACAGAGCGCAGATGCCTTGAGGCTACAGAGATATCACTTAGGCTTGTGCTCACACAAGCACACACAGAAACAAGGCCTCCATGCCTTTCTTACACGCTCACTGCACGTTCTGCTAACTGGAGTCTTAATATTCCTGCTTTACTCACACCCCCTCCACCCTCGTTATATCATTTTCTTTTTTTTTCTCTCTGTGTATTTCTCACTTCTCTTGTTGAGGGCCCTCCTCTGAAACACTTAATCCACCTCTGCGAGCTTGAATCTGGGCCGTTCCCCGGGGATTTCTTATTGTGCGGCGTTGAAATGGAAATGACTGCAGCTCTGTGATAATTGTGGAACTAACCACGGCCTTGTTTGCACATATTAATGGGACTGCTAGGGAGTGAAAAATCTAATTAATTGAACAAAAATGTAATTCATTAGACAACATAATTAATGCCAGTTTATGTTGGAGCTAGACAGCAAATTTCCCAATATCAGGGACAAGTATCCAATTAATCAGATCTTATCCTGTAGATGCCATGTTTTGGCAGCATTTATGCTGGTTATAGGAGTCAAAATGGGTCATTTTACAGGAGCACAACAGAAGGCTCTTTGCATAATGTTACGGTTGGATTTAAGGCAGTCTGTAATTAAACCTAGAGGTTTGCTAAAACAAGATACAAGTTACCAGAATAAAAGCCTATCAAGGTTCAGGAAATACATTTTGATTTTTATCTTCAGAACACGCTGGTGATTGACACACCAAGGGTGAGGAAGCAGACGCGGCACTACAGCAGCGTGAAAGAGGATGACATGCTCGAGTTCTCCGAGCTGGAGAGCGACGACGACGAACCCAGCAAGCCTTCTACCAAACAGCGTCGACCTCAAGACAAAACCCAAGGCTACCCCAGATCCGAGTGCTTCAGGGTGGAGAAGAACCTGCTCGTCTATGGGTCAGTTTCTACCAGATACTTATCCCGTTGTCAGTTTTATTCTTAAGGTTTAAAAGAGAAACAGACCCACAGCATCCCGCATCCTCCACCATGTTTAACAGAGGGCTTAAAAGATTTATACAGCCATTTTAAACCTTAAAAAATCAGCTGTCAGCTAAATAAATGCTTCACTACATTCAATTTAAAGGAACTCTTTGAGAAGCCAACAGCTGTACCACTTGGACTGTTTAAAAACAAACATTACTTGATTTATTTAGTTACTTTTAACCCACTGATTATTAAAAGTTCTAAATATGAACTTAGTCTGTTGCAACTGGAAATAACCTCAGCTAGTAAGATTTTAAATGCTATTAATACATTAATTGAGTTTGTTTGCTCCCATGGTGATCTAATTCAAATATTAAGAGTCTCAAAATTTGGGCAAGCTCATATCTGTTTCTCTCTTGCTTCTTTTCTTATGTGCGGCCGTTTTGTATGTTTTTTAAAAATTATTTTTAAACTATTGTTTTTTTCTTCCGACATGATAAAAATGGCTGTGATTAAAAAATGTTACACAGGTCTCAATTTAAACCAAAAAGAAAGACATTAACAAAAGATGGCAAAGAAAAGCAGTGGCTGATGAATCGGCCAAAGCATCCCTGTATCCGATGATACAAGACAAACACAGCTGGCCGATGTATCAAACTATCCCTATTACCACTACCTTTGCCTTTATTGTAAGGGGGAACCGGATGAGAACTGCAAGAGACCTTCAGAATGACCTCTAGCAGGCCCCAAATGTGCATGTGTCTACACAAACGGCTAGAAACCGACTCCATGAGGACGGTATGAGGGCCTGACTTCCATAGATGGGGATTGTGCGATCAGTGCCTGCAAAATCCTCCAGCATGACAAGTTTCGCTAGAGTGTGGCTGACGCACTCGAGCATGTGGCTGGAGTGTGTCAGCAAGTCCTGCCAATTGAAGGCATTGAAGCTATGGAATTTCCCGCAAGATCCCCAGACCTGAATCTGAATGAACACATCTGGGACATCATGTCTCGATCCATCCACCAACATTACGTTGCACCACAAATGGTCCAGGAGTTGGTGGATCCTTAGTCCAGGTCTGGGAGAAGATCCCTCAGTGGACCATCCGCCACCTAATCAGGAGCTTTCCCAGGCGTTGTAGGCAGGACATACATGGAGGCCACACACAATACTAAGCCTCAATTTGACCTGTTTTAAGGAAATTACATGAAAGTTGGATCAGCCTGTAGCGTTTTTCCACTTTAACTCTGAGTGAGACTCCAAATCCAGGCCCCCATTGGTTAATATGTTTGGTTCCATTGATGATTTTTATGTGATTTTTGTTGTCATCACATTCAACTTTGTATAGAACAAAATATTCAATGGGAATATTTGATTCATTCACATCTAGATTTAGTGTTCCCTTTAATTTTTTTATTTTTTATCATTGGGTTATACGCACTGATTTCTCTGAAACCTAAAATGATCAATCTCTGTAACAGAATCATCTTAACCGAGATTCATTTAACGTATAATAACTGTTCTAGCTGACGTTCTTGGTGCAGATCTTAATTATCTAGTGAGCCCTTCCATTATCATAGCTCACTTTGTGTGGGGATGTGTGTAAGAGGGTGAACAGTGACGCTAGTGAGACATTACCATTGTTATTGTTACAGTCTAGTCTTGTGGCCTGAGGCTGTAGGACACAAAAACACACTGTCTGAGTGGGCCCGTCATCTCTGGTCAGCCATGTTTTTTTTTCTTTATAATGTTAATTTCTTTCTGTAGCCCTCACCCTCCATTTTATAAAAAAAGACAGACTCACATGCTTCAGTGAATATTGAGAAGTAGCTGTAAAAAAAGGAAAAACATGAAAGAGGGAAAACCAGAGGAATCCACATCAGTCAGTGGATCTTTAGTTAGTGGGTGTAGAAGGGCTGTGATCCATGAAAACACACACTCAAAGGGATGTTTGGGTGGAACTGGTTAGCTGCCAGTAATCATTAAGTCAGCACACTGGTTAAATGTGGTTTGGGGATCTGAGCACTGATGGAAGTTGGAGAGATGGACTGATAGGGAGTGAATGTGGTGGATTCATGTGGAATATAATATTGTCTGACTTCCTCAGTATTACTCCATGAGAAGGATTTGTTAAATGTAGCTGGGATCTTCAAAGAACGATTGACAATTCTATTTAGATCATTTCCTTAGCCAGAGAATTTTCTCTTTTCTTGCACAACACCATATTAGTTTGCAGACAACAGCTACATTTTATCCGTTACTTTTTTTCCTTGAAACTAGTTTTTATAAAGATTTGCGTTTTCACTGGCCGCTTCTTTTCCCATGTGCCCGTTTAGGTGGGGAAGGTGGAGTGACATCCTCGCTCACGGTCGCTTTAAGCGTCCCCTAAAGGAGGCAGACGTAGAAACGATCTGCAGGGCTCTCCTGGCCTACTGTCTGCTGCATTACCGTGGAGACGAGAACATCAAGAGTTTCATCTGGGACCTGATTACCCCGAGTGAAGACGGGACCACCAGAACGCTCACAAATCACTCTGGTAGGGTGGACAATCCTGCTGGTTTTAACCCGTAACCTGTACTCACTGTAAGAGAAGTCTGAGGCGGTTGGCTCTTCCAAAGGGAGATAAGCTGAACCAAAAGTATAATTTGTGATCTTTAATTTTAAAACTGCAAACAGGCAGCTAAGTTTCTCTACAAAGGTTGAGTTTGAACCAGTAATGTGAGGTCCAAAGATGAGGCAAGACGGGGGGATTGAAAATGGCAAATTTAGTGGTTTGTTAAAACTATAAAGATGAGTCTTTCCTTATCTATATCCTTTAAATGTAGTTAAATATAACATATACAATTTAATTTGTTTTTTGCCAACATTTTGTATGTTAATGCATTTTTTGTAACATTTTTCTGCCTCTCCAGGTCTCTCTACTCCAGTTCCCAGGGGCAGGAAGGGAAAGAAGGGGAAGATGACTGCTCCTCCTCCTCAGACGCCACGAGCTGATTGGCTGGCCACCTGCAATCCTGATCATTTACTACAGGAGGACAGTTATAAGAGACACCTGAAACATCACTGTAACAAGTAAGGCTTTGATAAATGGCTGCCTTCAAAAAGGGTTATGTTACTTTGAATGATTTTAAAAACCCAGTTAATAGAGAATAAACTTGTTTTGTAAATATGAAATGGATCTGTGGCAGATGTGTCGGTCCCAGGCTGTGCATCTAAAACTTCTGTGGTCAGCTCTCTCTCCTGTCGTCAGGGAGATATGCTTCCTTGCCCTCCAAATTCACTTCCAAGAATTTTTTTTTTCCTTCCCTCCTTCTTGAAGGAGAAGTTTGTGTGTGTCTGGCTGTGTTCCAGCCCAGGTGCTATGCAGGCAGACCTGTTGGAAGTGGGTAAAAGACGTGCACCAACACAGACACACACATACACACACATGGGGGTGATTATGTGGTGCCATCTGCTAGGCTGGAGCACAGCGTTGTGTGGCTAATCAGGCCTGGCACATTGATGGATGAGCACACACAGCCTGCCAACAAACAAACACACTGCAACTTGTTATGCCATTGATGCACACACACACAAACGCAGTGAGGATGAGGTGCAAAGGCCTGTCTTCACACCCCTCCTTTACTCCTCTCCAAACTTTCTGCTCCCCTCCTTCCTGCTCAGCTCCATCCTTTCAGTTCTTCCTCTGTGCCTCAGTCTTCCCCCCTCTCCTCCTCTTCTTCCTCTGTCTCTTGTTCCAACACTATTACTTACTGGTGACAAATCTGGTGACAAATGTTTACAGTGAAGCAAATCTCCCAGATACTGAGCAGTGCTGCCAGTGTCACAAGATCATATCTGCTGTTGCCTGGAGGGATTCATTTGATTTCCGGAGGAAAAACTCGAAATGATCTGTGATGCTGAACATCTGTAATTTGTATCCAGAGGAGACGTCTGATGACAGCAGCAGAACGACATAATCAGTGTTATGACAAATTCCACTATCACATACCTGGGCACAATGAAATTTGAGCGCTTTGATAAAGTATTCACACCCTGGAACAATTTGCATCACATTAATCACAGAGTTGAAGGTTTGTCAAGGGGATATTAAGTGATCAGGACAAAAGAGCATAACTGTGAAGTAGAAGGGATGCATGGTTTTCTGCCATAAAATGCATATTTGATCCATTAAAGTCGCCCCCTTTTACTAAAAGTAAAGTTAAATAAAATCTAATTTGTTTGAACAACTGGCTGCAGCTATCGATTATTTTGAAAATCAATTAATCTGTCGATTCTTTTTTGATTTTCCATTAATCGAATGACCAAAGGTTGATTAAAGATTTTAAACCAAATGAAGCTAAAACTGTGTCCTTAAAGGACTTGATGATAGGGCATATTAATTGACAAAATAGTTTGTTTTGTTTTTTACCTAGAATGCAATATCTTTAAATATTGTTTTACAATTTAGGTGTAATAGCTGCTCTTAGTGTGTTGTTCTTTCAGGTTAAGGCATGTTTTAGAGTCTATACTTAAGTGAACGATTAACAGATTACTAAATAACTTAGAGTTATTACAATAATAGATTAATGACAATTAATCTGATTCTTTTTAACCCCCACTGAATACAACTTGTTTACTTGGACAACTCCATATTTTTAACAGTTTTTTTTTATATATATAATTAAACTAGATCTTCCTGCGAGTTTGTAAATGTGTTATAAATAATAATTGGTATATTTTGGATTTAAAGAATGGATATTTAATGTATTTCTAGTCTCCTAAAAATAAAGCAGGTTTATCAGCATCAGTCCATCTGCCTGCAGTTTTTATAGATTTTGTTTTGTTTCTTTAGATTGATCTTTCATAAATGCTCTGCAATCCTCTGTGTTTATACTTTTGAAATATGATAAAAAGCTGATGGAGCTCTGGAAGCTGTCTGGAATTCTGTTTTTAGGAGCTGTAGTTTGTTTTACACTTTAGCTAAATACAAGATACTGTGAAAATGTTATAAATGAGTGAAACAATGTCCAACTAGTCAATCTGTTAAAAAGAAAAACATCTCTTGATTATTTTTTTCTATTTCAGGGTTCTGCTTAGAGTCCGGATGTTGTATTACCTGCGACAGGAAGTCATAGGGGACCAGGCGGAGCGCATCCTGGAAGGAGCTGACTCCAGGTCGGTGTAACTAAGAACTTAAAATCTCCTAAAATCCCTGTTTGATTGGGGAAAACTGTGTGAATAGCCTAAAAGATGCTGTTCTGCTACCATAGCGCTCCTGTTTACCCATATTGTTCTTCACCTTGTGTTCTCTTTGAAGACAACAGCTCGATGTTACCTAGAGAGAAAAAGATCCATTTTCTAATGCAGAGGAATTTTCCTGGAATATGACAGGCAGTTTTAAAAGCTAATGGACGGGCTCTGTAGCTTACATGCGTCAGGATATAGAGTCAAAAAGCAGATATTTTTAGGAACAAGTGATGAATTATTACTAAAGTGTATTTCTGTGTGTGCTACTGCCCTCTTTGGCGGAATGCTTCCTATTCTATGATTTTATCTGGAATAGATCGGCTATTTATCACAGTTTGACCTATTTAGAAGGGTTTAATTTCTCCAAAAAGAGCCATCAAGCATCATACATGTGAATTTTAGAGGAGGTGCTCACCTTTCCTGCTTCCTTCATTTCCTCTGATGACCCCCTCCTCTGCCTCATCCTTTTCCTCACTTTACATATTCCTTGCCATCTGTCCATTTCTTTCTTCTTCCACAGTGCTCTTTAGTCTCATCTCCCATCCCCCCTTTTACCCTGCCACCCAGATGTGAATGCATTTATAATGGGGAGCATGTGCACTCAAAGTTCTTCCTCTTCTACCTCCTCCCCTTTTTTTTTTCCTACCCCCCACTCAATGGCTACTGTGACAGACCCAAATGAGTGTGCGCTTGTCGGCGCGTGCCAGACGAGAGCATACGGGGTGCCATCGTGCCAACATATGCCAGGGGGATTTAGCATGCCAGTCTTGGCGCGCTCACGTTTCGTGTGTGTTTTGCCAAGGCCAGGCATGCTGCTGTTTGCAGAGATAAGGGGCTGTTTCCCTGGTTTCTTCTCTCCTCCTGTCACCCTCTGTCTCTCTGCTCCCATTGTGTTCCGTACCCTTTCTCTACATAACTGGCTGGAAATGCTATTCGCTTTCCATAATGGAGGATATTTGTTTTTCTGATGCCTAAACATGGAGTAATTGCACAAAGTTTAATTGCATGCATGGTCAAAAACCAGATGGTCTTGGTTGGACTCTTAGAGCAGAGGTTCTCAGACTCTTTAACTATGGGAACCATCTCGGTAAATGGAAAGTTTTCCGCCCTCATATTGTTTTAAAACGGCTTGCAGTTTTTTATCCAACTACACTTCATCAATAATGTATAATGAGGGTTACCTTTTGAGTTTTCTTTCCCCTGATTCCAAAATGTCCTATTTTTATTCCTAGAAAGTTGAGTTTTAAACAGTAAATTTACCAAATTCCATCTAATATGGCAGCATTTCCATATTACAATAAAATATGTGGTGTTTACTGAAAGACAACTGTTGGTACACATTTTTTTTTTCACAAAAAAAGCATTCACACAGTGATATAAATAAAAAAAAACTCCTTTAGCGCAGATACAGAATAATGCTTTGCCATATCATAATATGAAAAAATAACCCACTATGTTCATATAGTCAGTCTGACTTCATATGATAGCAAATTTCCAAATCAAAGTACATAGTTTATAAGTTCAATATGCTAAGCACAGTTTCTCTCCAAAGCGAGCACACCCCTTAGCTGATGTCAAAAGAATAATATGATGTAATAAAGAGCAGGCTTTATTCAACTTCTATAACGGCTATAAATTTGCTGTTTTTAGGTATCTTTATAAACAGCTATAACTGTCCAAACCACTGGTTACAGGAGTGAGTACTGTCTTGGAGATGTGTTAGGGGTGGTTACTGTCATGTGGTCACACCTTGAACTAAAGTGGATTATGCTCCAGTTTCTCATGTTAGCATTCGTTTCCTTTAGAGAACTGTAGCTCTCCATAACCAGCAGCCCAAACCATCACACTCCCTCCACCATGCTTAATTGTAACTGTGACATTCCTCTTAATACTCCTCTCTTTATACTCCATTCCTCTCTGCTAGTGTTTAGAAAACTGCTTCCAGACTTTCTCTGTAGAAGAGGTTTCCCTCTGAGATGGCAGCCATGCAGACCAGTTTTGGTATTTGCGGCACAAAGGATCAGATTTATTATCGGGCTTAGTTTGGACATTTTTACCCAGGATGTTTTAACTTTTGTTACCAATGGTTTAGACATGAACAGATGTTTCTATGCATACCACTAAATCAGCCTTAGTACTATGAGTAGTAGTTGCACCAGTTTCTAAGCCGCAGCTGGAAAGTTTCAATGGTTAAACTAGTATGATTTAGTTAGTTTTCTCAGCATGTCTTAGAAAAGGAAAATAAAAAAAAAACCCGAAAGTTTTATGTGGTATTAGTATGTAGAAACAGCTTAGTTTTTTTGTTGACTTAGTTTAAATCCAACCACATGTGATTTTAGCTTTGATTAAAAAACTGTCAAACTTATTTGGTGTCAGAAGACTTATTAACAGTGGAGGCTGATAATAACATGGCACCATCTTCCTCCCTCAGCGTGTTGGATATCTGGATCCCTCAGCCGTTCCACGCCGAGGTCCCAGCTGACTGGTGGGACACGGAGGCTGACAAGTCCCTGCTGATCGGCGTCTTCAAACACGGTAACGGACACGCACCTACAGCCTCTCGCTTCCCCCTCAGACACACATACAGCTGCATGCTTGGATAATATCCGCCCCTTCACACACACATACACTGCGGCTTCCAGCAGAGCAGGCATCACGCAAGCAGCTTCACACACCGGGTGAGCGCTCATACCACCCGCTCGTCCTGCCACCAGTTGATTGGTGTTGCTATGGGGATGGCGGTATGCAGCTGGCAGGCTTAGAGAGCAGTTGGGAGCTTGATTGATGGCTGTTTTCACCACTGGCTGCACTCCCCCCAACACACACAGAGTTACAGGTGTTGACTTGTAAACAAACTTAACCTGCGTTTCTCTATCAAACTTATCCGTTAACCCTGCAGGTTGGGCTTCTTTTATAGCTTTCAAACCTTGCATTAAAATGTGACCAACCAGTGGCTGATGTGTTTAGAGACGATTTGCTTTATATCGAGGTCCTCATTCATATTAATTTGGAATAATTGTCATAATTTTTTGCCGCCTTCTATGATTCAATTAGGGCACAATATACACACTCACACACAAGCACACACAGCGCAACACAAAAGGCCTCACCCGTAGTTAATCATAATCCTTATTCACCAGGGAGGCCCTTCAGGGGGACTAACACACGCATACTCACCAAGCTTTGTGCGCAGACACCAAACAACGCTCGGCACTCACACACAGAGGAGTGATGGCCTATAAAGGCCCCGATGATTAACGTTTGGCTGTGGGCGCAGAGCTGAGAGAGGGAGACAGAATGACGGTTGGGAGCGATGCCTTACATCTTCCTAATGGAAATTTGATGGAGAGAGAGGAGAGATGAATGAAAGGTTAAAGAGATGGCGGGGTTGTTTTCCTCTGCTCCTCCTCTTCCTGTCCTCTCCTATTTCCCCTCTTTCTGATTTTCATCCCCTCTCACATTTTTCCCTTACATTTTGCTCTCATTCCTTCCTCCTTTTTTCTTTTTTTTTTTTCCCTCCTCTCCTGTACTTCCTGACGCGTCTCAGTAGGATATGCACGTTCTAATCTTTTCTGCCTGAATGCTCCTAACGGACAAACACGCAGAGCTCCTCACAGCCAGTAGCTCACTTTCACAGGACTCCATGACACACAAAGACGCTTCACTCCTCTTCCTCTCTTGCTCATTCCCTCCCTCCTTCCCTCCCTCACACAAACAAGCACCTGCAGGCTCCCTTGGATCGGCATACGCACAAAGCGAACAGAGGCCGGCGTATACACACACTCATGGACGCTGTGTATTGTCAGCAGCTGGCTCCTGGGGTCTGCCCTTCTGCTGCTTTCTATTTTTTTTTTTTTTTTCTCCTACGTGTTCCTTCATTTAACATGGACGCCATGTGCATGCTTTTGCCTCCACTGCACTCCATCTGTTGAACACTAAGCTAGAAAGCACAACTTAGATTCAGATCCTTCTTTCTAAGAGTTTGCCTTCAGCCCTGGTTTGAATGAACTTCATTGGTGTTGCTGAAGTAAACGGGGTTGATGGCAGACTATAGCCTCTAGCACGCATTCAGAGCTGTGTTCCTGCCTGTCATACTTACCTTTTTTTATTGTTGTTTTCTCCTCAGGCTATGAGAAGTATAACTCCATGCGTGCTGATCCTGCCCTGTGTTTCTTGGAGCGAGTGGGTATGCCAGACGCCAAAGCGATAGCCGCTGAGCAGAGGGGCTCTGACATGATGGCAGATGGTGTTGAGGGGTAAGACAGCAGGCCTTAGCCACCAAAAAGCAGCGTTTTACTCCTGAAAGCTTATTTAATATACGTGTGTAGAGTTTTGTCCACATTTATTTTTGTATGGACTGAATTAAGGCTTTGTTTTTTCTGTATTCTGATATTTTTTGCTCTGTAGTGAAACATCATATCATCTTGTCATTAAAAATAGTCTGATAGTCTGATTCTTTATCTCTACAGGGAGGATGAGGATCCAGAGTACAAGCCGATGCGTATGCCATTTAAAGATGACCTGGACGATTTCACCAACTCTCCGCTGGATGACAAAGATAATACAGTTGAAGGCGAGACTGAAGGTGATAAGATGGACGTTGCAACAGGAATGGGATTTAGTTTAGTGGTTTAGTTTTTTACCTTTTTCAGCTCATAAGTTCTGATAAAAGTTAACCTGCTGTAGATTGTTCTCTTCTGGTCTTCACATTTGGATGAATCCATGTTAGATCGAAGGTAATGGCTTCTCTGACAGCCGCCAAGCCTGAACTTAATTAGCTTAAAACAGGAAGGAAGGTTGTGGATTTCTTGGACTAACCGTTAGCCTTCAGCTTCCGGGTCCAGGAAGGATTTATTCTAAATAAGGACACAAAGAGTTATCTAGTTATAAGAAAGGAAAGTAAATGAAATGAAAATTAGGGATTTCCTGATTCGACAAAATCAGTCCGACCTTAGCCACAAAACTAATATCTGATTTTTTTCTGATATTTACTGCTTCTGTTAAAAGTTTCTGTAAATCTGGTTAACTTTACATGACTGTTGTAGAGGGGGTGTGGTGGCCTAGTGGTTAGGGCATAGAGCTTGGAATCCTGTGGTTGTGAGTTCGAGCACCACTCCCACAGAATGCCTCTCTGGGTCTCTGAGCAAGACCCTTAACCCCACACTGCTCCCTGGGTGCCGAACAATGGCAGCCCACTGCATCCCCAAGGGGATGGGTTAAATGCAGAAAGTGAATTTGTCCAATAAACTTAAATTATTATTATTATACCTTTTTTGTTGACTTTTGTTCCCTCTTTTAGTAATCGAGCCTTTTCTACTGCTCTACTTTATAAAAATAAGTAATAAAATCTCAGGTCAATATCGGCATCGGCTAATTTCTCAAAGCTGTAATATCGGTACTGTTTCGGAAGTGAACAAGTTTTATCGGGACAGCCTTAATGAAAATGAATAACTATTATTTGGGATTAATGACCATTAATAAGTAATTTATTAACTCAGCACCAAACTACCGGAAGGAGAACCCTCTTATTTTTCTTCAAAACAAACCGTTGAATCTTAGAGCTTAGCTTCTTAAAGGCATCACAGTATTTTAAGATTTTCACAGCTGGAGGATTGGATTAGTCAGATTTTAGTCAGATCCAGTAAGGGAAGGTGAAATGTTTGTTAAACGACTGCATCATGTATATGCAGCTAAATATATTCTGTCTTTTCCTTCCTTGTAGTGAAATCAGGAGAAAACAGCCAAAATGTCCCCTCTGTGGGCGGAGCTTCTGGCTCCAGCGAACGACTCTATTGGCCAGCGGCCTCTGCCCTGACGGCCAGACTTCGACGCCTGATCACGGCTTACCAGCGCTCCAACCGCAGAGAGCAGCTCCGTCAGGAGGCCCTCAACAGACCTGACGGTCGGCGGCGCCGACGCAGGGAGTTCCTGCCCTCCATCGCCATGGTTCCTGAAACGGGAACAGGAACGACATACATCCAGGATGGCACAGGGATGTTCATGACAGAAGGAAGCCCATATTTGGCTAAAGGAAATCCTTATTTTGCCAAAGGTACTCAGTTCCTACCAGAGGCTTCGCCTGTGATGACGGCCAGCTCCCTGATGTCTGACGGATCGCTGTATTATAGAGAGAGGAGACAAAGGTACCGTTCAGCTTAATGGATGCTGAGAAAATGTATAGAGATGGTTTGAAGGTGAATCTAACCATATTAATACTCCATGCGGATTCGTCCTTATCTTGCTTTCTCAGATGGACGCGTCGTGAGGAGGCAGATTTCTACCGTGTCGTTTCCACCTTTGGAGTCGTCTTTGATACGCAGCGTCAAAAGTTTGATTGGACACAATTCAGAGCGTTTGCCCGTCTGGACAAGAAAACGGATGAGAGCTTGGAGAAATATTACTACTCATTCATTGCCATGTGCAAACGGGTCTGCAGAATGCAGATCAAGACTGAAACGGGTAAGAGGAACTAAATGATCAGAGCACAAAAAACACCACCTTACACAACCATCTTTACCCCTGAATTTGTTCACTTCTCCAGTTAAGCGCTTGTTTTAAGTTTGTTTTTTACATGTCAATAAAATACCTCATAGTCGGTGGTTATAATGAGACAAACTGTGGAATGGGAATTATTTAACAATTGTTCATCTTTCTAAGTTAAGCCTGTGATTTTTCTCAGAACTTCCAGACCCAACCCTGATCATCGACCCCATCACAGAGGAGCGTGCCTCTCGCACCCTGTACCGCATTGAGCTTCTGCGCCGCATCAGGGAGCAAGTCCTTCCTCACCCGCTGCTAAATGAGCGCCTCAAGCTCTGCCAACCCTCTCCGGACCTGCCCGAATGGTGGGAGTGCGGACGCCACGACCGGGACCTCCTCCTGGGGGCCTCTAAGCATGGCGTCAGCCGTACGGATTATCACATCCTAAATGACCCTACCTTGGGCTTCCTGGAGGCCTACCAGCGCTTCACAAGTCAGCGAGGGGCTGGTGCTGGAATTGGAGCCCTTGGAGAGCTCTGCAAAGCTGGCATGGGGATCACAGAAACTGCCTCTGCTCCACTTCTCACCGCTGCAGAGCTGGAAAGTGCTGCAGCTGCAGCAAAAATGGCTGTTGATGCTGCAAAAGAGGAGGAAGAAGGGAAGGATATAAAGATGGAAGAAGAGAAAGCAGAAATGGAGGTTAAAACAGAAACCGAGGAAGGAGGTTCCAGTAACATTCCATGTATGAAGACTGAACCCCTTGAACAGAAGGGAAATCAAGATGTTGATGAAGGGAAAGATGAAGCAGTCGCTTCACCAATGAAGGTCGAAGCTGAAAATGTTTTGCCAAAGGTTGAAAAAGAGGATTACGAAGTAAAACCAGAAAGCCAGACGTCGGATCAAGACCCTGATTTGGCCAAACAGAAGAGCAGCACAAGTCCTGAGCATCATCAGAACGACGTCGGCTTCGAGCTCCCAGAATCCTCTGCTGAAGCACAACTTGCCCCCAAGACTGCAGAGGAGGAAGATGGTGAGGAGAAGGAGACATCGGAGTCTCTCAAATCGCCAAAGTCTGCTGAAACAGTGAAAAGTCCTGAGGAAGAAGAGGAGGAAAGGATGGATGAAGATGACAAATCAGAGAAGTCGTCTCAAGCTGAGGGTAAAATGTATTTTGTTTTTATTGTGACGCTCCTTATTTTTTTTAGCTCCTCATCATTGCTGACCCTCACCCTGAGCTACAGGCCTATTTCTGCCGTTTCCTCCTGTGACTCCTCAGTTTCTTAATGAGCATCCGTTCCAAGAACAGAATAAAATGAGTTTGGATCCCTTGATAACAATTTAAAAGATCTTTTTTTAAATGTGTGACTTTATTTCTCTCCTTGCAGCGATCACAGGGCAAAAGAACTTCGACGAGGAGAGCATCGCTTCTCTGAGCACGTCTGTCCGGGACGAGTTCTGTCCCGACGACTTGCAGGAACCCTCTGTGTTCCACGCCTTGCAGGACCGCACCTATGGCTTCTCATTCTGGCCAAAGGTAAGCTGCCGAAATAAACGCTTTCACAAAGTTAAAGGCTGCTGATACAGCATAGGGTAATTCTTTGACAATCTTAAAAGTGTCTATTAGTATTAACAATTTTCCATTTAAACCATGTCAGACTTATTTAAAAAGGATCAGAAACGTTTAGAGGACCAGGCAGAGCATTGTGGGTAATATTCTTAGGTTTTTGTAAAGCTCAGGTACTCCTAGTGATATGTGTGGTTAGAACAGGCTAACAGCTATTAAAATAATCTGATTTTTGTCTCTAACGAGTCGATTTCTGAACTACCCAATCAACTCCTGCAGCTTTGGTATTAGAGGGCGCGCAGTTTTATATACAGAGAGACTGATTGTTTTTTTTTTTCTCGCCATGTTTTAGGATCGAGTGATGATCAACAGGTTGGATAACATTTGCGAGACGGTCCTAAAGGGAAAGTGGCCCGTTAACAGACGGCACATCTTCGACTTCCCTGGAAACCTCCTGCCGGGCCACGGCTCGGCGGCAACAGCCGCCGCCGTAGCCATGGTGAGCGAGAGCCCGCTGCAGAGACGAAGCCTGGCCGAGCTGACGATGGCTGGGATCCACACGCCGTACAGCGGGAGCGAGGACAAAACGCTGTCTCCACAGGTGCATGTGAGTGTTGACGTAGATGATAACCTTTAAACAGCGTTGAATGTCATTCTGCTTTTTGTTTGTTTGTGGTTTCATTGGTGCCGCTTTTCTGTTAGCTTCTGTTGAGTAATGGTCTACCTGTGGCTTCAGGAGGACGCTCTGAGTTTGACGGTACCTCGACAGAGGAGGAGGAGGAGGAAAAAGATCGAGATCGAGGCCGAGAGAGCAGCGAAGAGGCGTAATCTGATGGAGATGGTGGCTCAGCTGAGAGAAAGCCATGCAGCCGCAGAGTCTCAGAACCAGGCCATAGACCTCACTAAGGTGCTCAGATGATCTGTATTTTCTATCCTTAGGAGCTGTTAGGAATGTTCATGTTGATTTACAGAGTGTTTCCCTTCAGGGTGTGCACCATCACCACAAGGCTGCTCCCTCTCTGGCCGGCTTCCCCAGTGCCTTGATGACAAACCCTTCCCTCAAAGCCCAAATGGATTTGCTGCAGCAAGTCCCACCCTCTGCTCACAGAGCCAACGGCTCATTGGACGCTGACCTGCCCATCATGAGAAGGAGGCGGGGCCGCAGGAAAAATGTGGAGGGCCTGGAGCTGCTGTTCATGGGCAACAAGAGAGCAGGGGGGGTATGTGTCAGGGAGACTGTTATTTATTCACAGCTGCTCCCCAGAGCAACATTTAACCATTTCTCCCTCATTTCCAGGATGATGCTGATGGGACAAATATTCCAGGAGGGGAGGGGGTTCAGGATGCCCCCCAACCCCACAGACCAATCAGTGTCCCTGACCAGAGCCCCAATGCCCACTCTCTGGCCTCCGGCAGCCTGGAGGAGGAGGAGACGCCAGTTTCTAGCAAAGACCTTGGAGAGTGGCTGAGACAGCACCCTACATACACCATGGACATGACTGGATTCACACCAGTAATCACTCCTTATGCACAAAATATTTATTTATTGTTCATGTTGCTGTATGGCAGGAACAGGCTTTAAACCGTACCTTCCTGTTTCTCATTTTATTTTACAGAAGAACGAGGAGATGCTTTTATCTCAGTTCTCTAAGCCCAAGCAGAAGCGTCATCGCTGTCGAAATCCCAACAAGATCGACATCAACACCCTGACTGGGGACGAGAGAGTCCCTGTGGTCAACAGACGGAACGGACGGAAGGTAAAGAGCAGATTATACTTCTGCAACCGCACACATGAACTGTCGCTTGGGTCTGGTCGTGAACCAGTTTTGCTGGTATGCTTCTGCACCGTCGGTCTGGAATTTCTAGGGACGCACAGCAGTTTCCCGCCCAAGTGCAAGGGGGAGCCTCATCGAGAACTCGCAAGAACTTAGGTGGCGCCAGCGGGAGTGTTTATCTTCCAAAACAACAATGGCGCGTCTGCAAGATATCACGGTCTCAGAGATTGAGCTAGAGTTGCTAGAGATTAAGAAGAACAGGTTCTGCTAATGGAGTTGACGAAAAGACCGATTAACCTTTCGTCGTAGTTGTCCATTATTCCTTGGTCTTTAAAAATGGCGCGCCCCAGGACCGAATTGGGAAGGATGACCACACAGACAGCAGGAAAGGCATACCAAGGACCAATCACGGCTGCACACGTCCGCTTGAGGTCTGCTTTGGTTTGCGAACATCCGATGCATTGTCAGGAATTTTTTAGGTGTGCGACGACGGTTGCAGAAGATTTGTGCAGAGACAGATTTGACGGTTGCAGAGGCTATGCGTTCGAAGCATAAATTGGCCTTAAAACAACAGGCAAAAGTATTAGTTGGATGAAGTTTTTATTATTCTTTAGAAAAAAAAACGCCTTCAAAGTGTAGCATGGAGTTTTTAGCCTCTTCTGTGAAGGAAGGCTCTGAACCAGATGAGACATTAATCAAACATTCTGGTCTACATGTAAACACTTTCTAACAGTTTGCATTAACCTGAACACGCTCTCCCCATGGTGAAACATGATGATAGCAGCATGATGCTGTTTATAAGGCTTCTCTGAACGGGTTAAAGGGTTTTAGAGGTGGTTTAAACCCAGTTAGACCTGGCAGAGGGCTACAGAGAGGGATGGAGGTTCACCATGCATGGCCTCAGTCACCATAGATGTCCAGATTGAAGCTGTTTATGGGTTTGAATGGTCTATTTGAAGTCCAGACTTCAATGCAATGATGAAAAAGAAGGAGCATAAAATTAGAGCCTTTAGATGTACAAAGCTGATAGAAAGCTGCTCACTATTCCAGCTAATGACATTTCCTGTAGTGTATAAAATGTCAGTTGTTGTTAGATTGCCTATCATTTCTAAGTGATCTACAAAAAAATGTGGTTTTAACATCAGATGTGAAAGTTGAGCCTGTTGAGATGGCATGTTTGTTTTTTCCCTTTATTTATTTCTCATCCCTGTTTTTAGATGGGCGGGGCCATGGCTCCACCAATGAAAGAGCTTCCCAGGTGGTTGTTGGAGAACCCAGAGTTCTCCATCGCTCCTGATTGGACAGACATCGTCAAACAGTCGGTGAGTATCTACTGGGTGCTGATTCTGTTGGAGCTTGTTCTGAGATTTCATTCTGACCACAAACCTCCTCCACCTCACAGGGTTTCCTCCCAGAAGCCATGTTTGACCGCCTTTTGACTGGCCCTGTAGTCAGAGAGGAAGGCGTTCGTCGTCGAGGACGACGACCCAAATCTGAAATAGCAAAGGCAGCCGCTGCTGCCCAGGCTGCGGCAGCTCAGGCCGCTCAGGCCTCCCTGGCTTCAGCCGCTTCATCCGCAGGTACGCTTCTCTCCCTACAGCAGCGCTCACATTCAGACGCTGCTCTACAGCTCAGCCTGAACTCTGCATGTTTGCCTTTAGGAGGAATCAACCCTCTGCTGCTGAACAGCCTGTTTGGAGGGATGGACCTGTCGTCTCTCCAGAGCCTCCAGTCTCTTCAGCTGGCTGCTGGTCTGATGGCCTTCCCTCCTGCTGACCCCAAACAGTCCGCTGCAAACGCCGCCGCCGCCTCCATGCTGCCCCTCATGCTCCCTGGCATGGGAGGCCTGCCCAACATGGCCGCCGCCATCCCCAACATGTTCAGTCTCGGAGGGCTTTTTGGAGGTAACCTCACGGCTGCTGCCGCCGCATCCAACGCCGCTTCTGGAAACGCCAACGGAACAACCGAGGGAGAGGGAGGACACGGAGAGGAGATGGCGAAGAGGAAGAGGGAGGCAGACGACAAGGAGGCAGGAGACGACGGAGACGATCTGGGAGAGGAGGACGAGGAGGAGGAGGAAGAGGCAGCAGCGGAGGGAGATGAGGATGGAGTGAAAAAGGCCAAGAAAAGGAAGATGGAGGGTGAGGTTGCTTCAGAGAAAAAGGAGAAATCGGCCAACGCCGGGGATCCTAAGGTTCCAGCAGCCGAAGCGTCAGCAGAGGCATCTGTCAATGGCGACACTGCCGCCCTGCTGGCCGCTGCCGGCATGTCTGCCAACTCCCTGGCATTCAACCCCTTCCTCCTCTCCACCATGGCCCCTGGCCTGCTCTACCCCTCCATGTTCCTCCCCCCGGGGCTGGCTGGGCTCAGCCTGCCGGGCTTCCCCACTGCCTCCCTCGCCGAACTGCAGAGCGCCATGGCCGGAGCGATGGGAGAAAACGCCTCGACTCCCAACCCCGCAAGAGATGAGGAGAGGGAAGAGGGGAAAGCTGCTGCAGAAGAAGAGGATGAGGAGGGAGAAGAGACGGACTTGGCAGAGCAGAAAGAGGAAGCAGCAGCAGCGGCGGCGGCAGCGGAGGAGTCGGCGGCGTCTCCACAGAACGGAACGAGTGACTGAAGTGGAAAACAAACTAACTGACTGGCCTTGAACATTTCCTCCATCTGTTGCACGTTTACACGCCTCCAACAGAAATATCCAAACTATTACAAACTTTCTTTTTGTTTTTGCTTTGACTTTTGTTGACTATTTTCTGTTTCTCTTTTTGTTTGTTGTTTGACCAGGTGTATTTACTATGCGTCAGAGAGGCCCAGGTGTGTTTGTATTAAGTTAAATCTCTCTGATCGATAGTGTAGTCAGGGAAAATCCTCAGCCTAGCTCGGCTTTTCTTCAAAGACTGTTTCCTCCTCTCTGCTCGGTGCGCGCCGTGAACTCCGCGCCCACCTCCTTTTTTTTTTTCTTTTTTCTTTCTGTTCCACAAATAGGACTTCACATGTTTCCAATAGTACTATTATTATAATTAATATTATTGTTGCTGCTTTCAGCTCTCCAGTCATTTATGCCTCCCTCTCCTTTTGTCTGGACTGTTATGTTGTTGCTGGCAGCATCTCACCCGAAACGAGAAGAAGCTTCTCATGCTTCTTCTGACAGCAGTTCTCAAGAAAACGAAGAAAGAAAAAAAAACGCATTACAGCTCATCCTGCTGTCTGTCTGATAAAGCTGCTGCAAAAGGAATCGATAGAGATGCTCTGTGTTAGAGCAGATGTTTTAAGTTCTCACATATCAGATCAGGTAGACTGATGTAAACCAACCAGATTCTCTCTCAAACATCCAGACTTATACTTGATGAAGAGCAGCACACATTCAGGAGGCTACCACTACACACTAACCCCTTGTAGGTCACGTGACTGTTTCTCCTGTTGTTGTTTTTCTTTTTCTCTTATTGACTGTAGGCGTGTTGTGCGCACGTTGAATCGATACTGTTAAACCCAGTCCCACACTGAAACCCAGTCTGGAGTCTTTCCTACTGCCACATCCGATTGGTCACTCTCTCTCGGCTTGGAGGCGGCTGCTGTCTGATCGGTCTGCCTCGTGCTGCCAAAACGTACCCGCTGCTGTTCAGAAAGAGGCCTTGGTGATGAGTTTTAAGCATCTGGCCGATCATGAATTTAAAACTGGGGAGGGGGCAGAAGAGATTCTATGTTTTATTTCTTGGTCGCAGTCTCCATAAAGTTTTCTTTCAAGCTTCTTTCACATCCCTGTAGTTCCAGACTAGGCGCTGCTCCCTTCTAGTCATCTTCTTTTTTAAAGACTGTTGCTCTAGTCACACACACTGACACCACCAAAAGGACTGAGACACGATCTCTTCATGTAGTTCAACTCTGCTCGCTAACTTACGTTTTTGAGTACTTGAAAGCACCAGTTGTGCTTATATTGCGCAAACCCTCCCCTCTAAAAAAAAAAAAAAAAGGCCAGTTTTAGTGTCTGAGATGAATTAAGTGCTGCAAGTGGTTCAGATATGTAAAGGAGAGAGAAGTGAGTGGGAGGTAACAGACCCGCGCCTCTTCTCTCTAACGCTGAGACAGCAATAACCGAGGCAGCTTTTGAATGTTCCAACATCACCCTCCCAACACGCTCCCCCCCCCATCGATAACCACAAGTGTCGTATGAGTAGAGAAGCAAACTGTAAATGAGGACAAATAAGTACTGCAATCAATTTTTGTCTCACTCTTTTCCTGTCAATGCACTGGTGTTAAAGAGTAAAGTTAATCAGGTACCTTTATTACTTAGCTACTTTTCTTGAAAAAAAAGGACATTTTGTTACTTTTAGCCAGCAAGCTGAAGAGCATTACCTCAAAATTCTTATCTAGCCTTGAAGTTTACAGACATACCATGTAAATGTTTTTTTTTCCTTTTTTTCTTTATTTGGTTTGTGTATTTTTTTTTCTTTTTGTTTTTTTGAGACATCTTGTATGATGAAATGTAGCTATGATGCTTTTAATAAAAGTGAATCACGATATTCGCCTAGGAAACCAACCCACCGCCTCTGTCGCATTATTTTAACCATTTTTTTTAAACATGAGTGCCGTTTTTAGGAGGCGGGTGGGGCTGTGGGCATCGTAGAGAATCCACTTGATTTAGCATCATGTTTTTCAATCTTGGGAAGAAGCCGCAGCAGCTGGAGAAAACAGACACAGGCATGAGCAGAACATGCTGAAAGACACCAGGCACCACATTTGCACGATGCTGCGACTGCCATGTTTTCCTATAGGAGTGGTGTAATTTTTCTTAAGCTGAGTTTCTTGGTGTTAGAAACATGGAAACTTGACTAAAACTGCAGTTTTTTGCCCTGGAGACAAAACTGACTTATGGCAACTCTGAGGTTAAAGCCTCAAACAAATCAGGAAAGTATTCGTCTATGTGCAAACATACGGTACGTCAAGGGTTTGCATGCATTACATCTGATTCTTCACCACATCCTCAAAGGGAATCATTTGCAAAAATACCAACCTGAGAGAAAAGAGGCAGATCTGAGTGATGAGAACTATAAAATACGTTGGGCTTCATTATTTTCCATAATGTTATGATAAAACTTGAACATGTATATATTTTAGATTCATTGCACACTAACTGAAATATTTCAGGTCTTTTATTGTTTTAATACGGATGATTCTGGCCTACAGCTCATGAAAACCCAAAATTCCTATCTCACAAAATTACCGTAGCATATTTCATCCGACCAATAAAAGAAAAGTTTTCTAAATGCAAAAAAAGTCAGCCTTCAAATAATTATGTACGGTTATGCACTGAATACTTGGTCGGGAATCCTTTTGCAGAAATGATTGCTTTAATGCGGCGTGGCATGGAGGCAATCAGCCTGTGGCACTGCTGAGGTGTTATGGAGACCCAGGATACTTTAATAGTGGCTTTTAGCTTAACCAGTGTTGGGTCTTGGTCTTGCTTCTCGCAACTTTCTCTTAACAATATTCCACAGATTCTCTATGGGGTTCAGGTCAGGAGAGCTGGCAGGCCAATTGAGCCCAGTGATACCATGGTCAGTAAACCATTTACTAGTGGTTTTGGCACTGTGAGCAGGTGCCAGGTTGTGCTGAAAAATGAAATCTTCATCTCCATATACCTTTTAGCAGATGAAAGAATGAAGTGCTCCAAAATCTCTGCATGGACCTAGCTGCATGGACCCTGCCCTTGATAAAACACAGTGGACCAACACCAGCAGCTGACATGGCACCCCAGACCATCACTGACTGTGGGTACTTGACACTGGACTCTTTGGTATTTCCTTCTCCCCAGTCTTCCTCCAGACATTGGCACCTTGATGCAAAATGACATGCAAAACTGAGCAACAGTCCAGTGCTGCTTCACTGTAGCCCAGGTCAGACGCCTCTGCCGCTGTTTCTGGTTCAAAAGTGACTTGACATGGGGAATGTGGGGCCTGTAGCCCATTTCCTGCACACGCCTGTGCACGGTGGCTCTGGATGTTTCTACTCCAGACTCAGTCCACTGCTTCCGCAGGTCCCCCAAGGTCTGGAATCGGCCCTTCTCCACCATCTTCCTCAGGGTCCGTCACCTCTTCTCATTGTGCAGCGTTTTCTGCCAGTTTTTCCTTCCCACTTGGTGCCTTGATACAGCACTCTCGGAACAGCCTATTGGTTCAGAAATATCTTTCTGTGTCATACCCTCCTGCTTGAAGGCGTCAATGATGGCCTTCTGGACAGCAGTCAGGTCGGCAGTCTTACCCATCATTGGGGTTTTGAGTGATGAACCAGTCTGGGAGTTTTAAAGGCCTCAGGAATCTTTTGCAGGTGTTTAGAGTTAATTTGTTGATTCAGATAATTAGGTGCCTAGCTCATTTAGAGACCTTTTTCATGATGCGTTTATTTTCTGAGATAGGATTTTGGGTTTTCATGAGCTGTATGCCAAAATCATCCGTATTAAAACAAAAGATCTGAAATATTTCAGTTGGTGTGCAATTAATCTAAAATATATGAATGTTCAAGTCTTATTATTACATTATGGAAATGTAATACTTTATCACAATATGCTAATATTTTAAGAAGGACCTGTATCTGGTCTAGAACTGCCACTGAGTTATAAAATGAAACCTGCCACTGCAGCTAAGCTGGCTGTAGCTTGATCCTAACATTAAATCAGCTCATAATACAGCTCCTATAGATTTATACTAGCCTCACTGTCTCTGCAGGAAACTAGACAAATCAAAGAAACTTAGCGAGTTAAATCCTAAACAAGCTGCCTGTACTGTATTTTATATGTTAAAAATACTTGTTTCAATACATTTTTTTTAAGACGTATCTTTGATTATGAGGGTGACAGTTAGCTGAAACCAAATTGCTGCTTTATTTGAACAGGCTTTAATCTGCATGTGTCGTTTACATATTTTTAAAAAACACACTTCATCTGTAGTTATTTCTGATAGCTCTTTGCAAACACCTGGGATTGTTCTGTTTTATTGGATCAGATCAGAGTTGAAACCACTGTCTTCCAGTCTGTCCAGTGATGGTCTGCATGAGTCTGAAATGTGTCTTAAATGAGAGAAAACAGCAACTAAACTTTGGTTCCCAAGCTTTATATTTTAGGCTTGGGGTGGTTCCCACACCCAGAATAAAGTTGTTCTCCACTTCCGGTCTTTTACAACAATTACCAAAAGTGATAAAAGTCACATTATCTTGTGCAGAATTTAGTCCATCTAGTGTCCTCGCATAGATAGAGAAATAAAACCTTAGGTTTGGGAGCAGCGGTGTGTTTGTTTTAGCAGACAGAGGAGACTTGGAGTGAGTGCGTGTTTCTTTGTGACAGACGTCTGGCCTAATCACCTTGCAGGAGGAAGTGGGACGTGAAATCTACCAGCCGCTCCACACCACTCACACACACGCTGAAACATAGCATGGCTTCTCGTCTTCTACCCCCATTTCTCCTTCCAGGAATGTGAAGAGCAGTGTCTGATTTACCAGACGTCAGTCTGGGTTTATCAGGTTAGTGCATGTGAAAATGACAATTTATAAAATCCCTTTGCAACAGTCTGTTTATTAAAAGAATGAAATGAGTTCCAACATTGAGACTTCAGCATTTAAACTCAGCATTTACAACAAGTTTAAAGATTAAACTTATTGTTGGAGAAGTATTTTGAAAGATGTGTGAGTTTGAGGCATGTTTGTTGAAACCATCCGTCTTTCTCGACTCCAAACCACTTCAGAGTATTTTGAAAGGCTTCACTCTGCCAGCCAACTTATAATTAGTTTACCATCAATATTGTCCAGCTGCTGCAGTGCAAATGATAACCCAGATATTAGATCAGGAATGCCATGCACATCACTTTACACTGCAAATGGGTGGCAACTACTTACATTTACTTGAGTAACTTATTAAGAAAAGTTTACTTCTAGGAGTAGTTTCACTGCACCATACTTTTTACTTAAAGGTATAGTGGAGGATTTTTTTCTACTTTTTTAAAAGACCTGCCCTCTCCACTTTAAAAAAAAATGCACATGCACAGCCATATGCCCACTCCTGAGAGGGAACGCCTATTAAACTCATGTGAGAGCGTGCACAAGCCCATTTCTCCTCCTGCACCCTCTATTTAAAAGTTGTTTGCATCGCTCATACAAGCTTACTTTCCAAAAGTTGTGAAATTTGTCCACTATGTCAGACTCACCACCTGTAAGTGAAAATGGGTACGAGCACCTAGGGACGGCCTTACATGAACATATCACCAGAATGATTGACAGTTAGGAGGACCACTTATTTTGATGATCCACGCGGAAAAAGAACATCCTCCACTATACGTTTAAGAAATATTATTGTGATAAAAATTTATAAAATGCACCAGACAAACAAACTAGTTGAATTTCACAAAGTATAATTTTTTTGTACTCAATCTTTGTTGTTTTGATGTTAATTTGAGGTGATTGACCTCTATGACATAGAAGTTAAGGTAATAAACAGTAAATAGTTTAGATCAGAACATCTTCATGTAATAGAATGGCCTAGTCAAAGTTCAGGCCTAAATCATCTAAAGCAACCTTGAAAGCTGATGTTTATGAAAGTTAACCATCATGCTCGATCTTTGTTTATTTTGTAAAGAATTAAAAGTGTTAGTTTCTAGATAATTAAAGTAAAAAGAGATGTTATACTTTTAAAAAATATTTAAAAAAATGTCTTTCCTTCCCCGACACAATCATGTGTTCGTTTGTAGAGAGAGGGTGGAAAAAGGAGACCAGTGATTTTAGGATTTGTACTGATTCCAACAATAAAAAACAAAATAAAAAAATAAAACAGACCTAAAAAAAATCCCTATTGGCACACAGTTTAGAGATTGACCTTTAAAATGGTGCTTGTTGATAATATCCACAGGTGCAGTTCTAGACTGGGCCAATGGGGGAAATCCCATGTAGAACTGGTCCTTGCCCTGTTAGGGCCTCTGTACTAATGAAAAATACTAAATCCATTTAAAATGAAATGTGTCGGTGCAGAAACAAAAACTGATTGGTCTACAAGACAATTTTTTACTTTTAGTTTTCCCTTTAATACTGATTTTAAAATGAAGGCGATTGACTCTTAGCTTTAGCTGCTTTTAGCTTGTCGCAGTTCTTATATTCTAGATCTTTGACCATGTGGCTCACTGAAAAACTACCAGTCTTTTTGTTTTATATTGACACCAAGGTATCCGTTGATAAATATTTTGAATGCCGATTAAGATCATATTCTGGTGTCATGTAACTAAAGCTCTTTCTTTCTCCTGTTTTCTGTGACTCAGATTTTGTGCAGCAAACGGGACTTCTTATTTTTAAAGAGGCCAGGTTTGCACAGCAATTCCTGTCAATTAAATTTCGGGAGCAGTAAATGTTTGCAGCTCCTCCAGAGTCACCATGTGTTTCTTCTTTGAATAATGCTCTCCTGATGTAGCATATCAACTTTAGCAGATGGTCCATAATTTTCAGAGATGATAGATTAAGCAGTGCTAAATTATGACTTTCTTTGTGTTGGTTTTATACCTCAAA